TTAAATTCAAAGTTATTATTAAATAAAACAGCTGTTCCTCTAGCATTACTTTTAAACGATGTCATGTGGCATTGATTGTAGTCCCATTGTTGTTTAATGATCTTGTAAGCAATATATGTGGGCTTTTTTTTCGTAAAAAGCGGAACACCTTGTTTCTTTTAAACAAATTGTTTAAGCCCCTACAGTTTAAAGACATAATCTTAATTTTTCCTTTTCAGCCATTTTCAAAGATGTGGAGTATCTCTAATTCAAATGGTTTGTAGTCGTAACAATGGTCTAGAATGGGATTTGTGAAAGTGTATATGTCAGTAACATGCTTTGTGGATTTTTCGTTATTCTGTATATGATAACAAAATTAAACATATCAAAATTGTGAGTATAAAAGGTGCTTCGAGCTTCTGAAAACCAAGAAAATTTGTGGTTTCTTTTGTACACTCTTTACTTTTAAAGAGGATTGACATGGAGTATTTAGTTATAATGCAACTACGTGGGTATACTTAGCGTAACTCTATTACATGTATATCAGATACTAGTATTGTATTATCGAAGCTGATACACAACTAAAACAGTGAGTTACATCAATTCAGTGTTCAAATCACTAGTAATATTCCACTGGAAGAATACAGTAAATGCAGTAGATCCTGTAGTGTCAGTCTCGCTAAAAGATCAGAGTTCTGTAGAGATCTTAGCTGTAAAGCGGTGGAAGTATAGTACATCCACATATTCACACGTCAAAACATCCTGTTATAAGAACCTCACTGCCCAAATGTACACACACTCCATGAAGTGTCAAAAATTAAAAATGTACACTCTGCCTGAGCAAATAACGTTTCATAATGAAAATATCAATTATTATATAATATGCTGTCAGCATGTATTGGAGAACCAAGTTACTCAAGTAGTTCATCTCAAGTGAAAGGATAATGTTACGTTCACGGTTGTAAACTTTACATCCGCATATGCTACGGAAGTGTGAATCCGTAAATAGACAATTACATGGTACATAGTGAATATTAGTATAAATCAGATGGTTTCTGAACTTCATCCACATATTCACACGTCAAACATCCTGTTATAAACTCCTCACTGCGCGAAAATACATTCGACACATGCACGGATGAACATATGTATTGTTCTGATTGTCAGCGTTAATTCGGTTCACTCACTGCACATGTGTGGACACAAGGGGGCGTTCAGGTCAGTACCTGGTGACACCACCCCTTGCAGTGATCACTGCTCGACACCACCTTGGAAGGGACTGCACAGATTGTGGGATTTTTGCTTGTGGAATTATTCGCAATTCCTCCTGCAACGCATTTGCAAGTTCTGTACGTGTCTGAGGACGATGGTTCGTTCCATACATGCTCGATCATTGACGGGAAGGACATTGACTTTAGTATTGGCGAGATAAGCACCTGTTTTACGAGATGTGTGGGGTCCAGCGGTGTCGTGTTGAAACAGTTCCCTCTGGCGGTTAAAACGTGGGTTGAGGTGAGGTAACAGGACTTGGCAGATGTAGCGTTTTGCTGTAAGGTTGCCTTGAACCACCACTAGCTCTGATCTATCCGTGTAGGACATGGCTCCCCACACCATGACGCCATCTCCACCAAATCTGTCCACCTGTCGAACGCAGTTCGGCGCAAAACGTTCGTGTTGACGTCGATAGACACGTTGTCTCCCATCCCGTCGTTGCAGGAGGAAACGCGATTCATCGCTGAACAAAACGTGATCCATGCGTTCCCCAGGTTCCATGCCTGTACCCTGTTGCAGCACTGGACACGTCGTTGTCGGTGTAGTCGTGTCAGGACAGGTCCAACCTTTCGTCGATATGCTTGCATTCCCACTTCTCTCACAGATTCTTGTGTCGTTGCCAAGCAAGTATTACTTGCTTACTTGCTTGACAACGATACAAGAATCTGTATCGAAACGTCGCATCTACCGAATAAAGAAGTTGTTTATCCATAAAGTTTGTCGAACGAATTCCTGCTTCCCGTCAACAACACACTTCCGCGTTGCTAACAGTATATCTCATCATGAAAGAAGAGGGGTCTCTTCCTGGTTTGACGCTGCGCTGGTGCAGTTCTTGATATTGATTTACGATATTAAATTTAAACTTCCTCCACAAGATTTGTAGTTTAGTAAGACGAGGTAGACTGTGCTCCTTGCAAAGACTGGGCATATATCCCCAGTCGACTTTCACATCAACCGCTATCTTCTCTACTGATTCCGGGTATTTAGCGTTAACATGCCATTATAGAGAATTATATTAACGCCTTGACCCACCTCCGACTGATCACTAATGATCGATGATAAACATATTTCCAGTGAAACAATGTTTATCCAATAAAACACATCATTTCCCCCTTGTCAGTTATCTAAGAAAAGTAGAATATGTACTTTGGTATGATGTCTATCACATCTTTATTCACATGATTTCTGCTGACTTAATTCTTGACTTAATTCCTCCTCGCAAGAAATTTCGAGTTTTGAGAAAAGGACATTTTGAACCTGTTTTTGGTGGACTAGGACACGTCTACCACACACCGAGAATAACGGAAAAATCACTCCATTGTTATGTAGATGAATGCATTGTAAACAAAGGGAAGCGGCAGGCGTCACACCACGATACGATATATACATACGCCCAGGTTGTGGAATTGGAGCAATTGTTTGGTTTTGTCCATTTAACATATGTTAGAAGTTTATTTTCAATACATCTCCTTTCACTACATGTAAACCCGTAGTGATTCAGGGTGAGAACTTGTCCCCAGCAAAAGATATTGGTTTAAGATGGTAATATTGTCATGCAGGTTCTGTTGACAGCGTGTCATCCTACTCTGACGATTTGAATCGTTGTTCATGATATCAAAATCACTAGATTATCTGGCCCAGATTCATCACACGGCTCTCATAATGCTGAGTGCGGCATAACTGGGTGGATTGGGTTCAAACCGTATTATAACAGTATTCCTATTATATCACATAGTGTCAGGTCATGTGGGAGGAACTCCCGAGGTGATGTTGGTCTCAGACGTTTCCACTTTGCTGAAACCAACAAACACAGGTATGGTGCTGACAAAACTAGCAACATGATCGGAGCCAACCAGGATTCGAACCAACAATCATAGATTTCTATCGTGTCTAAAGGACGCAACTCGAGTGAGTGAGTGGGTTTGATTTTACGCCGATTTTAGCAATATTTCAGCAATATCACGGCGGGGAAGACCAGAAATGGGGACACATTGTACCCATGTGGGGAATCGAACCCAGGTCTTTGGCGTGACGCTTTAACCACTAGGCTACTCTTGGCTGACACATTTAGCCTATGTGTATATTGGTGGTAGCTTTGTGGTTCAAGCGTTCGCTCGTCACGCCGAAAACCCGGGTTTGATTCCTCACATGGGCACAATGTGTGAAGCCGATTTCTGGCGTGCTCACCGTGATAGTGCTGGAATATTGCAAAAAGCGGCGTAAACCCAACTCACTCACTTATTTAGTTAAGGCCCCGGCAGTACATCCCTTGATGCTTGTTTCTGCGCTACAAGTCCACGAAGTCTTGTCAAATCCATTCCCACATTACAGTGTTCCCCGGAACTCGCGTTATATCGAGGGAAGTTTCCCGCCGCATTGCAATCACGTTACGCCAAACTGTGTCACGATAACGGCCTCCAGCCCATGAATACAGTAAGACAAATGCATGACGACACAGCAACATGCAGCAATAGTACTGCTGTATGCGGGCTTACAGCCATCAAACTATGATAATAAAGTAGACAATCCAGTCGTGTCGTGCAAATATCTGTTCTTTTCGTGAGCTTTGTTTATATTAAAAATGCCGCAGTTATTTTTTTTAATAGAGAAACGTTGTCAAAAAATATATCTAAGCGCAAGCATTATACTGAATTTTTGTGATGAGCTAGTCTTGTAGAAACTTGATGTCTACTCACAGATATTATCTTCATTCTGTCATACGGTTCCACAATTGCAAGAATCTGAAGTCTAAAGGTTTTACACACGTCACGGATCATTCTAATAATTCCTAAACTTTATTCAGTGTCACAGTGATGTAAATGCTTTTTAAAAGAAATCGTTTTGTCCATACCCGACACCTGCCAGTTTGGATCTGTTGCAATAAAACAATAAAACAGTTTATTGGTTGTGAGTTACCTGCTGTAAAATGTTCACAGCTTGAAATTTAATATTGTATTATGCAAGCCTGAACATTTATGCCACTCAAAACCGGAGAAGCGAGTTGTCGAGATTCCTTCAGATTCAACTTGGCATTTATAGACGCTATTGCAGTCTTTCTTAATTTAGAAGAATTGAACAGCCATGCCGTAAACTAGGGATAATCTACACCGTTATATAGTCTCCCTGCGTGAATTGAAACACTGTTTAAATCCTTTCGGAACATCTCAGAGAGGTGATATAAATATACTCGGAGTATTCATGCTAATAATAATATATGTTATGTGTAACTAAGCAAGGGGCCAACACCATTAACAACTTTCACCGGTTTCAGTAGCCTATATATACATAATTAACGTGTTGTCTTTTTATCTAATATGTATCATTAACTTGTTTATTTATATAAACACTTTAACTACGACAGCAAATAGAATTGTTATACATAAGTGTAACTGTACTTGTAATTGCTTTAATTTCCAGTGAAATGATATGGAATTTCGAGTATGTGTTTATAGTCTATATTTTCAACAAACTTACACATAAACGTGGGCGATGAAGATGACATATCATGTGTTCATTTTATTTTGCAATATATTCAGATCGTGCAATACTGTGCATGTATGTAAACAATCTTTTAAAAAATATATACCTATTTCATACAACTGTTGTTTTCTATAACAACACCATAGGCATGAAAAACGTTCAGATAACTTTGATGTTTTCTCCACATGACGATTTTCACGGCGGGTTCTCTCAAAAGTGTTTACTTTGTTACCCACCCTTGACTTGAAACCACCGCTAGACGGCGCACGGGCACCTGCTTACCACTTGCAGTATTATGATGGAGAGACGGTGTCAGTGTTATCAATATTCTTTGTTAAACCTGGATAATCTCCTGTGAGTTTCTCAATATCTCTGGACTGACTCATTTTGAGTCAAAGATGCATGGTGAGTGTTTATTCATATAAGCTTCATATGCAAGGAAAACAAACGTAATCGCTGGAAATCTTGTTAAGACGGGCTGTCAGCGACTCACGAAGTTAGGAGTACATATATGCCGTGATCGTCCGTATGGTTCTTGTAATGCATTGTCTTTTCTGACTTGATAAATCTCGGCCCGAAAAAACCCGGCATTTTCTAAAACATCATTTCAACCAAGAATTACACCAGCATCGTTCAGCAATTATAATTGAAATATTTCTGTGCAATATCTAGTGGATGACATAATTATTGATTTGCATGGAGCAGCGATGCTGCAGTGGATTGTGTTGGGATCACGTCGTAAAGCATGTCAGTGGAGTTGATGAGATTCAGATAAGCTCCTGTCAGAAAATACTTTTTTTGTGATCTCAGTAAATATTTTAACTATATGTATTTGTCTCAGTATCCTGACAATTTGTTTTCAGTGTATCTTTCTGTTAATTCCGTCATATTCCGAGTTTTGTTAATTAATTACAAATGTGCCATTTGTGGATGTTGTAAGGGCTGATGATGCCAATTTGGCTGCATTTTTTTATATTTATATTTTATAATATTACAGCCAACACCACTAAGGGAGCAAGACCGTTGTTTCAAAGTGCTCTGAATGCAACAATGTAAACATGAATAAATGTACGATGCTAGCAAACAAACAGGAAACTGTCAGCAACACATTTCATGAATTGGCTAACACAGAATATATCCTGCCACCCCATGAAGTGCCTTCACCTTTGTCTTCTAATTGGTCCTCAAAGTGATATTGCCCATTCATGATTCAACCGAAAAATGTTAACAAGTTTCAGATTTGTAGCCAGGAAATCTCCCATAATATATGTCAGAAAATATATACGGCTGTTGAAACTATTGAGAGTTGGGTAATTGTTGAAAGACAGTCATGCATTTCTTATCAGCACATTTTCATGAAGCAGTCCAGGATGTCATGGCGGTATGAAATTTATTGCATGTTTTTCTTCCTTTTCCATGACTTTCCAGATATACTGTTATTTAGTTGTGTTGCATGCTGTCAATGGAAATTTCAGGTTAGAATCACTCATCACCAAGGTATATGCTTGTCATGAAGCAGCTTATTGAGGGTCAGCTTATCCTGATGCCATGGATTTTTGCTCATTATCAGCCGTATATACTGGTTTCAGATCCAGTTGTTTACAATTTCATGTAACATTGCTTCAACAGTGCTGACAAATAACAGACAAATTATCGTAGTTTGAGTCATTACAATATAACTGTTCAGTGTTCGCATTAATGCAAAAACCTACGTGTTTCACGCAAATAAATCTACATTTCACGCACAATATTTTCTACCTGCATGTTCTGCATGCAAAGCATTTTGTTTCTGAGAACAAGTAACCGAAAAACGTATTTTCCCAAAGGATAGAACAAAATAAGATAAAGTTTCTCACAGCTAATTTGACTTGCGGATGTTGACAACATGCTCTGTAATGCAAGGTAATGACGTCTAAATTTCATAATTTTGTGTGTGTGTGGGGGGGTGCTCAGAGTATTCCAAGACACCTCGTCGCTTTCTGGCTCGGGCATACAAGTGCGGTGTATGCACGCGCAAGATTCTTGGGGCTATGTGTTTTAGGAACGCAAAGCTTTTTCCCTACCGCGGACACTGCAGTTAGGTACCATGTCTAGCAACAGATACAAAAAATACGAACTGCCTACAGCTGAACTTGATGGAATTCCTTCATGTAAATCAATATAAATGTATTAAACGTGAATCAATGTATTCATGTTTACACGTTTATCATCAGTGATGATGCTACTCCTGAGAAAGTTAGTTCTGTAAATACTGAACACAATTGGGCAGTGTAATATGTTGTAAATGACTGATTTCATCTGGCTATGCTGTTGTTGCGTACAATTACCACAACTGTTTGATGACATTCAAGATACACATAAGAGAACTTCCTGGTTGTAACAAGTGTCATGCTGTGTATATTGTATATTGTGCTCATGTAGGAGTGTGTTTGTGGTATTGGTTAACTAGGTCAGTCCAAAGTTTCACTTTAGTTTGTTGTCTTATGTTTGCACAATGAAAACGATGTAAATATTTACAGGGGTCACATACATTGTGATAGGCCCTAATATTACTTGTTTGTGGTGCTTATCACTGCCATAGAACTAAAAGATGAAGGGTTGACATTTAAAAATATTTTCGACCACCTACACTACAGTTTTGAAACACAAATATGTGGACTGAGTGATTAAAAACATCTTGTACTTATCTTATGCAATGCTGTTATTATCGTTATTTACCGTGGTAGAAAAACGTTACTTGTCTAAAAAGTGATAATATCATAGGGCTAAAAAGTAAAATTCTTAAATTCTATTAGCAATTGTCATACCTTTGACATTGACTTCCCATCTTTACTGTAAAAGGTCACATGCAACCAAAAAATCAAACATAATTAAAACACAATTATCACTTATTCATGACATATAATATACATTGCTGGTTATGAAAAAACATATAAACAAAATTATAAGCGTACAATCGCAAATCAAAAGTGCAATATTGTGTACTTGGGTTTACTTCCCAAGAAACGAAGCAGCCGGGATACCGAACCCAGTCAGAGCGGGTGGGTGTGCAACAAAACATTAGGAAAGTAAACACCAAAGCCTTCACCGAGTATTCACCGGACAGCCCGCTTCCAAGTTGCGCGAACCTATTTCACTGGGCATGTGCTATGAGCGCAGCCCAGCTGTTGAAACCAGTTTTCCCCCGAAAAGTCGGGGGAAAATTAGAAAATCGTTTGAACTCCGATTTCGCGCGGTTTTTTTCATCGCATTATTTTTCAACTTTATAAGTTGAATTTGCATTTTTGATGATTTGTTTCGGTAAGTCCATACCGAAAGGTATCAGAATCTGCAAAGTTGTGTTTTACGTTGCATGTGACCTTTAAGTTGTGTTAGGTCAGACATTATCTGGACATGTTATAACCACTCCAATTCTTGGGAATGCGTAACTTGATTTCATATGTATATGCATAATGTTTGAGTCTGAAAATCCGGAAATAACCCATTCTACCTAACAAAACTTCAAGACAAAATATAACATCTTATCAATTATTTAGTTATATTTCTTTCAAATTACATTTGGACTTGGCGTCCCAACCTGTTCTGATTTCTCCTGGAGCCAATGATGACCACAGTTGTATTTTGTGTGCATTGTGAGTTCTGTCTGTGCAACAGTAGCAGACAGTGCAACTAGTTTACCAACCGTTATTGAAATTTTTATGAGTAATTATTTCAGGAATTTTTAACTACACATGGCAGGCAAATTGGGAAAAGAAATTTTGTTCCACAAGGTTTTACCTTGAAATGAAGGCTCCAGATTGTAATTTCAGTCATATTGTATTTAAGTGCATGTAAAGTAATGAAATAGGTTAGTGCACTGTACTTGAAAGTGTAATGATTATGTCACAAGCAGGAACTTCATAATTCTTGTTGAGAATTTGGCATGGTATATTATTGTGAGTCACATGGTATGCCATACACATTTTTCTGAACCCATTTTCAAGGGTGGAAATAACCCATTGCCCAATGTCCGAGTCCAGTGTTTTTTTCTGTCAGCCAAGCAAATTTGTATATCACACTGTACCGGTGTCCAGTTGACTTTCCAATGTTAATTATGTTGTTTATTTAAAAAATCAACAAGAAAATGGCTGGTATAGTGGAAAAATTATCAGGGCAAGTGATTTTACATGTGCCACTGTACCGGAGTACACTAGCAATTTTAAAGTTATTTCCACCCCGATTCATAAAGTTTATGTGAACTGAATTCACTTATTTGCATCATGTAAAACCCTGTTTCCGTATTATGATTTATTAGAGTTAATATTTTCCCAAATTATGAGCTATGTTAACATTGAGTTTCGTGCAATGTTCATTGAGAAAAAGTTATCAGTGTATCTCAAAAAGGTCATATCATCAGATATTACTACATTAAAATGAACTGGAATTTTTAAGAAGTCTAATTTGAGAATTTGGTTGAAAAGTGAGTCACAACTGCATGATACACATGAAATATATTCATTGTGCCTTTGGCATATGTATTTCACTCTTTGGTGACTTGGCTTAAGAAATGCAAGTCCCTGGGCTAATATACAATTCATATTGGACCAACTTGAGCATATTTATGTCACATAAATATGTTTTCGTAATGTTGAGGACATATTGTTAGTAATAAGTCAGATAATGTAGTACAACCATGGAGGAGCCATGGTTTTATATAATTTATTTACTTGAAGAGTTGTCTCCCTTGTGGACACTTAACCTGTCGTCCCAAACTCCAATGTTGAAAGATTTGTCAGTTCTAGATCACCTCTTACCATGCTAAAAACATGCTGGAAACGGTTAAACTTGGTTGCATTGAGGAATACCTGGGGTGGAGTGGACAACAAGTGCTCTGTGTATAGTTTTAAGGTGATGGCACAGTTACTGGCCTCTTTGAAAGGAGATCAGAGACAGTTGGCATGGTTACTAGCCTACAGGACGTGTACAGGGAGAGAGTTGGCATAGTTACTAGCCTACATGACATGTACTGGGAGACAGTTGGCATAGTTACTAGCCTACATGATGTGTACAGGGAGAGAGTTGGCATAGTTACTAGCCTACATGACATGTACTGGGAGACAGTTGGCATAGTTACTAGCCTACATGATGTGTACAGGGAGAGAGTTGGCATAGTTACTAGCCTGCATGACATGTACTGGGAGACAGTTGGCATAGTTACTAGCCTACATGATGTGTACAGGGAGAGAGTTGGCATAGTTACTAGCCTACATGACATGTACTGGGAGACAGTTGGCATAGTTACTAGCCTACATGATGTGTACAGGGAGAGAGTTGGCATAGTTACTAGCCTACATGATGTGTACAGGGAGAGAGTTGGCATAGTTACTAGCCTACAGGACATGTACAGGGAGAGAGTTGGCATAGTT